AGGGCAGGGAAATGGAAGGAAGGAGAGGGAGGAGTGGGAGGGGAGGGGAGGGAAGGGGAAGGGACGGGGGGAGAACGACTACCACACCCCACCCACTAGGCTGAAAGCAGGGTGGAGGGGCGCCAACAGAAAGAGACAAAAGAAGACAAGGAACACAATTCCAGCACAAGATGAAAAAGAAACCGGCTCCCCCGGCTGCACTAAGGAAAGCGGGGGTGAAGCATCCAGGGGAGTGGGCGGAGTTGGGGCGGGGCCGGGAAGGGGCGGGACGGGGCTGGGGCGGAGTTGGGGCCCATGGAGTGTCCTCTTTTTGGACCCTTATAATATGGTAATCCTACCTTATTTCAGTGTGGCTGGTTTGGAATGTGAGGATGAAACCATATGCTTCCCAACTTATGGATGCCCCTGCTGCTTAGCCAAAGGCCTTAGCCTAAGAAGAAGGCTTCAGCCTATCCTAGTGAGAGAAGGCCCATACGCAGGTGGACTGTGATTTTGATTCTTTGTTTTTATACCCCTGTAACTAGCTAAGTGATAAAAATACACCTCAGTTCTTAAAGTATAGGTTCTACAGGCAGGCCTGAATATCTATATCCTAACAGTGGTCAGAGTCAATAGAGTTGCCCTGGCTCTCAGGCCTGTAAGGCCTAATGGCCAGACTCAGGGAAAAGGGCCACCACTTAGGGGTGAGTGACAGCCAGGATATGGGGACCCGGGCCCTCCCTACTCTACTGGGACACAGCCCAGGGCCCTGTAAGTGGCATGGGTCTCCACCACTGAGTCAGTGGGGATCCAGACGGCAACATGCTAACTGCTCTTGGCCACATGACTGGCGCCTTCCCCCCTATCCGCCCTGAGGCTACCTCCTACCATTTCCCTCCATGGTCTTCTGTGTCCTTGGCGCAAATGGCTCACAGCGACCCTGAATTCTCCCAGACCTCAGCTGGCATCTGAGCCTCCAGCTGGGCTTCTAAATCCCTGGTTCCAGTATCAGCCCCCGGCGCTCGGCACCCCCGGTCCCCGGCACCGCCAGCGCTCGGCCCCGCCGGCGCTCGGCGCCCCCGGTCCCAGGCACGGTCGGCGCTCGGCCCCGCCAGCCCCCAGTCCCCGCACCCCTGGCGCTCGGCCCCGATAGCATTCTCCCGATGCTGTTAATCCATCTATCCAAGAGGTGGTAGCTTGGTTAATAGAAGAATTCTTCTGTCACCCTAGCCGTGTCTGACCAGGCATTAGACCAACTTACGTATATCACACAGGATGTGAAATTTTTCTCAGCCCTGAGTGACGTAGCTCGGTTGATCTAATGTTTAAGTGCACACCAGACCTGCCTGACACTTTGATTCAGGGTTCAGTTTTCTAAAGTCAACCCTAATTTCAGCTGCCTGTGATTTTTGGACTCAACTTTAGATAACATGGACATGGCTGTAAAACAAGCTGAGTACCCCATCATGGAAGATAAAAAGTCAATGAGAGCTGAGTGTGCTTTCCCGAACCCCCGTGCCCGGCCTCAGGTGCCCTGTCCTGCCCAGGGGACACAGACACCTGGCCGGGGGGATGGGCCACTCACCAGGTTCGCAGACCCAGAAACTGAGGCACAAAGAGGGGGAGGGAGGCAGGAAGTCAGGGGCAAAGCAGAGAATAGAACCCAGGAACCCCCACACACCGCCCCAGCTCCCGCTCTAACCACTAGACCCCACTCCCCTCCCAGAGCCAGCAGAAAACCCAGGAGTCCTAGCTCCCAACCCCCT